ATTAGTATATTTTTATTAGTAGTACCAAAATACTGTGAAGATTATTATTTCTTTATAGTACAGACTGTATTGCATTACATTTCTCAATGTTTGTTACACAGGATTACAATATATTTCCTCCTTATCAAACGAAAATTTTGTACACAGAGGAGTCTGAAAGATGCAGTAGTTCCATTCAACTGTAGATTTGCTCTGTATCTGATGAATTCTCTCCTTACAATTAAGTTGTCATAGCAATGCATTTTTAATAGTACTGATTTATATGCCAGTAATGTTCTGGAGCCAGAGCTCTTGATAGTTTTTCAGCACTCAATGATGCTAAATTACAACTTTAGCAAATACACAAGTACTGGTCTACTTGCACTAGCAGAGGAACATGTGATCAGACTTAAAATAGGCCAAAGCATAATCTGACACACAACTAACAGAAAGCTACCTAAAACTTTGGGTGGCCCAGCTGAAGAAAATAAAGGGAAATCCTACACTTGATTTGTTTTAATGTAAATGTTTAATGACTAAAACATTATACCTTAATAATAAATGATTTCACCTTACTAAGCAGAAAAAAAGTTGGTTTTTTTTTTTCTTCCAAAGGTGTTGTTTTCATATATTGGTACTTATACGGCACACCAGGCAGCTGTGCAGGATAAGCATTGATAATGGGAAACCATAGTACCTTGCTGACACTGTTTTAGCATGTCTTCCTCTCTGTATTTTTAACAGATCAATTAAATTACACACATTTATAAGGTTTCAAAATAACAGGAAATCATGCTCCAAGGACTAGGACTGTGTGTCTTGGCTGTTTCCAAGGCACTGATAGCAAGTGTCAGCATGCACATATCTGTGAGAGCGAGATGTGAATCATAAGCAAAGAAAATTGTCTGATACTTCATTCCTTTTTTAATTCAGAATGTGAGGAATAATGTGCATTATTTTTTAGTATCAGGCAAAATATAAGTGAATCAAAGAGAGATGAAGAAAAAAATGGTGTTAGCTTATTTTCTGTGGCTGAGAAAGAGAAGGAAAGTAGAAGAGAGATTCTTTTCCTCATGTCTCTCTAGAAAGGATAAGGCTTAAATTTTGAGAAGAGCATTGCATAGCACATATCTTTTAAATGCTCCTTCAAAGGGCTGATGAAGGGGAAAGTATATTGTGAATGCAATAACTGACCTAACTAATATGTCTTAATGAAAATGTGTATTGATTTGGTTCTGAGGAATGCTTAGCCTCTAAATATATAAATGTAAAATGGTAATTGTTCAATCTGAAGCTTCTGACCTTCCCTGAATGATGTGAAAAACACACCTGCTTAAGTCAGACTCTAGAAGCTTGCAAGCCAGGCAAAGGTGTACAAGTACTATACATTTAACATACACTAAATTTACCTGTTTCATATATATAGCCTAAGAGTCAAAAATTAAACCAAAAAAAGTTTTTCAGACTGAAGCTCAGTGGAAATCTAACAATGGCAAAAATAAAGTTACTAAGGGAACTGTGGAGTGGTGGAGGCAACAAGGGACCAAACGGTCAAGCAGAGCTTTCTCTTCGCTCTCACCTCCTGGTATATGCATTTTTCCTTTGGATCAAAGCTAATCCTACACTTTGAATGTCTAGCAAAAAAAGTGGAATATGCAAGCTGAAGCTGATGTACAAACTAAGACTTCCCAGAAAATAAATGCAGTAAAAAACATGAGAACATATGCTCCTTTACCCTTTATTTAGAATAAATTTTACTTAAGTTAATAAATAAATAAATAACACCTTACTTAACAGTTGTAAGCTTTCTCTTCTATGCATTACTGGGTGTTGCTGCTTTGTTCTTTAAAAAAGTGCATCTTCGAAGTTAATAGAAATTACATGTTTAATGAAGGCACCAGCAGCCTATAATGTAGTCTCAGACCAGTTGGACAATTGCATCCTTCTAATAAGGGCCCATCACCAGAGCAGTGTGGAAGATGCTGAAAATGGCTGGGGTTATTCATTTCACACTATCATGGGTTCTTCCGCTAAGCCTCAGTCTAGTGGGAGGCAGAGCTGGTCAGCATTTGTCCCACACATAATTTGGAGGCAGTATGTTTTTACACAACTCAAAGTAGCTGTAGTCAACCCAGTTAACTATCTAGGGAATACAGATCAAGAACAACACAAGTCTTTCCTGGCCTAAAAGATAATTTACAGTACACAGAAAGATACAGCTGTTCCTCAATGACATTTTCTTCAAGAATATCCTGATTTTTCTTAGATAAGGAATATCACCTCTTCATGACTATCCTTAAGAATATTAAGTATCTGCTTCTGGCAGTTCTCTGTGAATGAAGTGCTATTTGCCAGACCACAGTCATTGGCAAGGCGCAACCAAAAAATGAGAGATCCTACAGTCATTTCTGGATACTGGAAAATGTGTGCTCATGGAGGAACGTGGTACTCATTTAGGCCATAAAGCATGTTAGACAGGGAACACATATAGAGTTAGGAATGGTGATCAGTCTATTCCCAAACCCTGAAGACTTATAACCTTGTAAATGACAATAGTAGCATGCTGAGGTTAAGTGAAAGATGAACAATTATCCAGCTTCCTAGTTTGTCTTTAACGAATGTAGCCTCATTCACTTTCTTGGTTGTGAACAAGGAATGAACTGTTGCTACAGGATACTTCTGATTTAGTTCTTTGCTGCTAGGCAAAAGCTCTGCAACATTTTGAATTAAATGTTTGAAATAATTGTTTCTCCAGGAAAAAAAAAAAAAAAAAAAAAAAAAAAAAAAGCATTGCATTATATGTATGCTTTACCTGTGTTCATTTTCACATACTCAAATATCACTTAAAAGTAGCAGAAATAGTGACTGTGGATAGACTCTGAGATTAGCTGTAAAGAGCAAGCTGTGATGGAAGGCTAGAAGACAATAATACTCTAACTAGTAATATAATGCACTTCAAACTTATCAGTTCCTTCATATAGGGCTGCTGAGATATCAGAAGAAAAAACAACACACACTCGTTGTTCCACATGAGTACCCACAGGAATGCGGATAGCATCAGGTGTGTCCAGCCATAATGCAAGTATATTTATCTCTATACAACAATAACACATGGGAGAGAGATAAACAGGGGCAAACCTTCAACTGACTGCAACAAATGTCTTTACAAATGTGATTGCATTGTCTAGATGGAAAAGGCATTTTTGAAGATCTGAGACTGGACAAGTAAGAAAGAAGGTGGTGTTGAGCACTCCCAGGGGACTGGTACAAAAGAGAGCAGAGAGGAATATCTGGCTGTTACCTACTCTCACACTACAATGTAGGCTGACAAGGTAGTATATCAAAAACCTTTTGTACTGGTTTTGGTTGGGATAGTTAATTGTATTCATAGCAGCTAGTATGGGGCAATGTTTTGGATTCGTACTGGAAACAGTGTTGATAACACAGGGATGTTTTCCTTATTGCTGAGCAGTGCTTACACAGGGTCAAGGTCTTTTCTGCTCCTCACATGGCCCTGCCAGCAAGGAGGCTGACTGAGGGTGCACAAAAAGCAGGGAAGAGACTCAGACAGGACAGCTGACCCCAGCTGACCAACAGGAGATTGCATGCCACATGACATCATGCTCACCAATAAATGCTGAGGGAAAGAGAGAGGAAGGGGGGAAGCTTGGAGTGATGGTGTTTGTCCTCCCAAGTCACCGCTATGTGTGATGGAGCTCTGCTGTCCTGAAGATGGCTGAACTCCTGCCTGCCGATGGGGAATGGTGAATGAACTCCTTGTTGCTCCTTGTTGCGCTTTGCTGTTGTGTGCAGCTTTTGCTTTACCTATTAAACTGTCTTCATCTCAATCCACAATTTTTCTCACTTTTCCCCTTCTGATTGTCGCCCCCATCCCACCAGGAGGGAGGGAGGGAGTGCTAGGTGAGTCTTAGTTGCCAGCTGGGGATAAACCACAACAACCTTCCATACAAAAATTAGACCAGTGTTATGAAAATGTTATTGTTAGGTTCTGAGTAGACTCTCATCTTTGATTGCCTTGGAGAAAGGATAAAGAGAGAATCACAATCTACATTGTTGCCCCTCAAGTAAATACAATAGACTAGTCCCTCATCATTGCTCCCCTTCATTTCCCATTAAATTTCCCGTCCGTGAATAACAAAGCTGACCCTTTCCTCAGACAAGGGGTACTTCATCTTGCAAAGGTGTATGTTTGAGAAAAACAGCTTCTCTGCCAGCCTGGAGCTCTGCCTATTTCTCTCCTCATCAAGATGCAGAATAATATAATCCTTTCGATGATCATCAAAAGGGTGAAATGATTTTGGATCATCATTTTGAATCTGTAACACTTTGAGTATCAACTGAGATGAGACAAATATGTGTTTGATTTCATTCAGCACAGACATTTTTATAGAAAGGGAAATATGCTTTGGTTGATGTGGAAGTTGCTACCAGAAACAGGGAGCTGTTAGTTAAAAAGGAGCAAAGCAGCAGGAAGTGCTTTTTTCCTTGGCCTACAAAGTGGAATTATATCATTCATAAAAAGCATGAAAAGCGACTCTACAATACTGTATTCATTTATTGGATAATTATTACTTTGACTCAGTAATTCTCCTATACTTTGCTATCCCAATAATAAAAATGGCCAGGCTGACATCATACTTGCAACGTTATTCAGCAAGCCATCCTATTACCTGTACATTTTTAGGAAGATGTAACAGTTAACCTTGACTACTTCAGTCTGTAACAAGGATTGCCTCTCAGGCAACTTATAAAAAAATTAATTTCAAATACCATAGACCTCGGTATTGTGTTGATATGTAACATTAATGCATAGGAACAAACTAACATCAAACAGTAAAATGGTGAATAGGAGTGTTCTAGCAAAAAGAAAAGTGAAAAAGAAGGAATAAGGCTAGATATTTTAAACAATTTATTTGCTACTATAGCCGAAGGCTTTTTCCTGACTCTTCTCAAGCTGCAATAAAAATTATATGAAATATTTAAAATGTGAACAGGCAAGTTTACTTACTGTTTCCTGGGTGCCAGCGCACTGCATTTAAATATGCATTACAGTAATGGAAGAGAAACTCATGCTTGGATCGGGTAACTTTTCCTTGAAGTAAGGGCATCAGATCATGTCCATCAATAATTCTGAGTAAGAAAGCATTTCAAATCAGAAGAATAACCCAAACCTTACTTTACTGAGAAGATATTATAATTCTGCATTTCCACTACGTAAAAAAATAAATCTGAATGGCCACCTCCACTTGGTCAATTCTGAGAAAAACCTTCAGGTGCTCTTCTCCTTTGATTTTTACATTATTTAAGGAAACATTAATTTTACATTTTGGCATTAGGAATGGTTGTTTCCTCAATCCATTTTTATCTTTTTTATTGTTTTTTTTGAGAAAGTGACCAGACATATATGAATAAATTGCTACAACACAGTCCTCCCTGTATACCTGCTCAAGCTGTTTAGAAGTAGTCTGGCCAAAGTAACCCTAAATCAAGAGAAATATATGCTACGCTGTGTTAGCATTCCCAGAAGTAGTGGTAAGAACACTGTCCAGCAAATTACATATGCCAGAATTTAAGACAGAAGTAGTCATTTCAAGTTGAAAATGAACTATGTTTAAATATGTGTTTATCAACCACACACACACACTCAGAGATAGATACATATATGTAAATTCTCTAAACGCTGCTGGGCAATTTTGACCATATTTCGAAAGAGTCAGTCAATTTACATCAAAATGGAGTTATAAAATAAGGAAGGCATTTAAATGTTTCCATAAATTAAGCCTTTGAATTGCTGGAATCGGCTGTCAAGGGAGAACAACCTGCATTTTTGACCTGGTGTGAATTACAAACTTTACAAGAAGTTTTACAGGAAATTACTTTTTGCTGATATGCAGATCAGCGGGTAATTATTTTTCAAGCATTTTGAGCAACATCTCATAAAAACTTTTCTGAAACTTTAAAAAAGTTTAAAAATATCTATGTTAATTTTCATTACCATGTAAAACCCTTTTCACATTAGTGTAACTACTACAAGACAGGTACTAACTTCATTTTTTTAAGCCATGAGCTATGTATGACTATGAATTCTTGGCAGCAATTGTATCCAACAGCACCATTCTGCATAAGACTCTTATCAAAGGATGGGCAGGAAAACACCTTGGAATTCCTAAAGCTGTGTTATCCAGTAACTCTGCTTTCTGGGTGCATATCTGTCTTTCCCACTTTCAATTTCTCATGTTTTCTTGCCTGAGTAATGCACTCTTGTCTCGCCCCTGCAGGTTTGCTCACTATGAAGCTGAGAGCAGGACAGATGCATGCCTATTGTACACTTTCTGTTCTACAGCTTCTTGATGGGGAAAGGGTGTCTTCAGTAATATGTCTCCAGCACTCTTGCATTCCCACAACTGCTAGTTTCAGGAGGATATATGAGACTTTTCTTTCTGATGACTTATTTTTCTTCCTTAACTAGGAGCACATCCTCCTTTCTTTTTTAACCTGCTCCCTCCCAGTGACTGAATCCTAATCATAGTATGTCTCTTATTTCTCAGGAATAATTCAGTGGAATTATAGGAATCCAGCTGCTGGATCAAAAATGTTTCAAGCTCGTCCATGACCTACCATGAAGCAGTAATTATGGCATCTAGACTACACAGAATAATCAGAGTAGAGCAACTTGCAAGTGGAAGTTGAACAAGTATATTGGGATTTCTCTCAGAGAGATCAAAATAAAACATTGGTGCTTAGTCTTCACTCAAACGATTGAAAACAAAGTGCATAAGACCTGCCCGCATTAAGAACAATCATCTGAACTGCTTAGGTTCGACAGAGTTACTGCTTCTAGAGGATCTCTCAGGACCAGCCTGACTAATTTTTCATGTCTTACACATGTCCTGCCCTGCTATTTTCTTCAAGCACTCAATGAATCTTCATTAGCAGAGTGTCTCTGCTCACCACTGGTTTTCCTCACATAGGTTCTAGATGCTTTGCGCTCAAAACCTGTTTGTGTATGGTAGGTGTGTTCAAAGCATATGGACATCAGCAGGTTTCTCCACTTACTGGATTTGGATGGCAACAGAGTTTAGGTGGAAGCACCTTGCTGCTGAGACTGGGTAGCTCCTGAGCAAGATAAAGCACAGGGATGTAGGAGTGTCAGTAAAGCATCTTATGAATTTTAGAAGTCCAGTGGGTTTTCTTACCAGGCTGCAAAACTCGGTAAAGGATTATTTTCACTAACTTGGTAGAGAACAAAAAAATCCGTGAAAAAAGCTTAGCTGGCTTTTTGATGTGTCTTGTTATACTAAGCAGACTGAGGTTGAGCTTGGAAAGTTTTAAACAATTTACACTTGCAGTTCCTTTTTCTACCACATCCATTCATGCAGAACAGAGCCCTTTTTCATACATTCATTTTTGCTTTTAGTAAATAATTCTAGGTCTGATTTGACAGATGTTGCTTTTGGTGGTATTCTCTTATCTTCTTGTTGGTTGGTGCTTCTTTTGAAACTTAAGCTGTATTTACATACAGTGTTTCTGTAAAATATATCAGTATGTCAGTATGAAAAGTGACAACACACTACTGTAACTAATGGCAAAAAAAAAGCTTTTAAAACCTAGTTTTTTCTTTTCACTCTCATGTCTACCTTAATAGACATCACCAGAATATATATAAAACACTCATGAGAGTTTCTATAAAACAGAGGTAACTACAGAGCATACCTGTCAGCAGGTAACTGTGCCTTGGCAAGTTTGACTATGGTAGGAAATATATCCATGTTACTTGTTGGCTCATCGATGTAAGCACCAGCCTGTATCACTCCAGGCCAATAGAGAAGCCCTGGCACACGAATACCTCCTTCCCAGTTCATTGATTTTCCACCTGAAAAATGAAAGTTTTGTTTGCTCAGAAATCAATTTATTCTTAGAAAAATGCCCCCCTTCAAGATTCAATTTCCAAATATTAAACATTCTTTCTAGCTAGAATCTTTTCATTAAATGTATTTATCTAATGTTTATTTGCTAGGTTTAGATTTTCCATCTATAATCAGTACCTTTCTCACAGTAAATCTACTAATATGCATTTATTTAGTTTTGAAACAAATTTGAAATAACAGCTGTAGGAAATAAAAAGGCACCTTGTAGGAATCTTCATCTAGAATTTGATCTAGATAGTGTGCCACAGTTACGTAAAGTTATAACCAAAAAAACAGGAATCAAAAATAAATTGAGGCATGCCAAGGAATCTGAGGTATGAACCCAGAGAAGATATATGATATTTTATTAAAAATGGTGCTTTAGCTAGAGGAAAGTACTAATTTAAGTATGTTACTGAATTCTCCTATTCAATGCATTAGGAATAAATTTGCTACAGTGATGGCAGATCTCAGGATGTTGTGAAGACCTTTTTGACTTCTAAACCAACACAGCTGCACCAAATGCACTAGCAACTGATTGCATTCAACACTACATGGCAGCCTTTTCCTTTATTTCTACAATATCCATCACTGCTCAGTCTTCCCAATATCTTTGCAAAAGGGCAATGTGTTTATTCTATGACATTTCTACCATTACTTAATATATGATTGACACAACTCTGCATGAAGAGCCATCACAAGTACTATTATTAATGTCTTACACAGTCATGTGACTAAGTACAGCACTTCAGGTTGATCTCTGAAATTAAAATTTCACTTGGAAAAAAATATTTCTGGTAAACAGTTGGGGTCTGGATGTGGTTAAGCATGGTCTGGGCCAGGCATTTACAATTAAATTGAGATTGTTTTATGTAATATAAATGTCTGAAAGAAGAGGAATATGTGTGTTGAACCCCTGCCATTAACCGAATCAAATAGCAATTCATGGTTCAAACAAAACAACTATGACCATATTTTTCCTGTATCTCCCTTTTTCAAGTAAAAAACCTTATAAAAGAAAAAATTATTACAACAAAGTACTTCAATAGTTTTGTCTCCTCAGCCTCTTAGACCTTCTAAACAAAGCTTAGATGTTGGTGTCAAGCCCAGGTCTTATCATACATCCTGTCCATCTTACCAACTCAATGATCTTTCCTATTTTAGCACGGGTGGATTCAGAATCTATCCGGTTTTTAACAGGTTTTTACCCACTCAGTAAGTTTTCCACAGGTTTTTCAATGTTCATAAAGGTAAGCAGCAACTTCAAGAGAGAAAACTCTCTTTTGCATAGATCTTTACCCATTATATAAATATATAGAGTCTTGTGGCTGAAAAAACTTTAGCTCATGATTCTTTGTTTACTTTTTTTGCTTAGTTTTTTCATGGGCTTTATCAGAATTAGTAATATTGAATACAGAAAATGTGGGTCTGCTGTTGAATGAGGTAGGTGTCATGGTGATGGAGGATGCAGAGAAGGTGGAGTAACTGAATGCCTTCTTTGCTTCAGTCTTTACCACTCAGGCCAGCCCTCAGGAGTCCCAGGCTTTGGAGGTAACAGAGAAAGTCTGAGGAAGGAAGACTTTCCCTTGGTTGAGAAGGATCAAGTTAGAGATCAATCCAATAAACCAGATATCCACAAGTCCATGGGTCCTGATGGGATGCACCCACGAGCACTGAGGGAGCTGGCAGAAGTCATTGCTAAGCCACTCTCCATCATCTTTAAAAGGTCCTGGAGAACAGGTGAGGTGCCTGAGGACTGGAGGAAAGCCAATGTCACTGCAATCTTTAAAAAGGGCAAGAAGGAGGATTCAGGAAACTACAGGTCATTCAGCCTCACCCCTATCCCTGGAAAGATGCTGGAACAGCTTGTTTTGGGGGTCATCTCAAAACATGTGGAGGAAAATAAGGTTAACAGAAGTAGTCAACATGGATTCACCAAGAGGAAGTCATGCCTGACTAACCTGATAGCCTTCTATGAGGGTGTGACTGGATGGGTAGATGAGGGGAGAGCAGTGGACATTGTCTACCTTGACTTCAGGAAGGCTTCCGACACTGTCTCCCACAGCATCCTCATAGGCAAGATCAGGAAGTGTGGTTTAGAAGAATGGACAGCGGGGTGGATTGGAAATTGGCTGAAAGATAGAGCTCAGAGGGTTGTGGTCAGTGGCAGAGTCTAGTTGGAGCTCTGTAACAAGTGGTGTTCCCCAGGGAAAGATAGATTTCACTCTGGTGTTAGCCCAAGGGGACCCATCTGATAGTTTGTAACCTGATGGCTTTGGCATTGCTTGTTTTGCTTGTGTAGTATTTCCTTCACAGCTCTTAAAATCTAAGGGTCATTTCCCAGACAGATAGCTACAGTCTAAGAAGTCTGGAGTCTTCTCACTGGAGTTTGAGGGTGCATTAAGAAACGTGTGGCCAGCAGGTGAAGGGAGGTTTTCCTCCCTCTCTACTCTGCCCTGGTGAGGCCACATCTGGAGTGCTGTGTCTAGTTCTAGGCTCCCCAGTCCAAGAGAGACAGGGAACTACTGGAGAGAATCCAGCAGAGGGTTACGAAGATGATGAGGGGGCTGGAGCATTTCTCTGATGAGGAAAGGCTGAGAGACCTGGGGCTCTTTACCCTGGAGAAGAGAAGACTGAGAGGGGACCTTATCAACTCTTATAAATATCTAAAGGGTGGGTGTCAAGAGGATGCTAGAACACAGGAAGTTCCATCTGAACATGAGGGGGAACTTCTTTACTCTGAGGGTAGCAAAGCACTGGAACAGGCTGCCCAGGGAGGTTGTGGAGCCTCCTTCCCTGGAGATATTCAAAACCTGCCTGGATGCTGTCCTGTGCAACCTGCTGTACGTGAACCTGCTTTAGCAGGGGGGTTGTACTAGATGACTCCAGAGGTCCCTTCCAACCCTTGCCATTCCACGATTCTGTAGTAGTCAGGGACACGTAATTATCTAGTCTGAAATCAGAAAACTTAGACTTTCTAACATCCAACACTACATCAAGCAACAATCTTTGCTTAAGTTGGTTTTGGAAAGAAGTGCCAAGTCCAGATCTCAACAAGACTATCTGTCTTTTAGAGCAGTCTTAAAAGTTTACTCTTGTCACTGCATCAGATGCAATTCCATTTTCATGATAAAGCATGTGGCTACCTATTCTAAAATTGAGGAATGAGATGCATGGCTTATTTTTTGGTACATTCTTGTAAAAAATATTTTTTTCACAAAAAAAAACCCCAAAACCTAAAGAAAACATAGTTTTAAGTTTATAAAGGTGTTATTTGTTGAGGTTTAAAACACCTGTCACCTAGCAGAAGTGTTCACCCAACAATATGCTGCTCTGTTGTTAATATGGTTGGGTCGAGACCAGTGTAGATTTCAACAGACTGTGTGCATCTTCTGTAGAAAAGATGACTCTATAAATGTACAACAGTCACTAGGATTTTAAAAGTTTTTTGGGAATTATGTGTTAACTAGCAGGAAAGTGTCAAGATTAATATCTTGACTGACCTATGGTTCACAGAAAAATCTGTTGAGTGGGAGCAGTTAAATCTGAATAAAAATACAAGAAAAGTGTAAGGACATAAAATTACAGATATCCTCAAATTAAAATATTTTCAATCAACAGTTATGTTGGGCAGATGATTAGTTCATGAGCCAGATCCTAGTTGTACGTACACATCACAGCAGCTTGTTGGCTGGTCAGTATGGACAGACAGAAAACTCTAAAGGCTGATCTATACCATAGGTAGCTTTAAGCGTGATGCTCCTTTTATTTCTGTATACCTGTCTGAACCTAGTAATAGTGCTAGCTAGATTGGATTGTTTAAATAAATTCTCATTTTACTGTTGCCTCCTGTGTTATCTGAAGACAGAACAATTTCAAGGTAAGTACTGAATCCCATTCCAACACATGTTGCTATTCTTAAAACCTAGATATTGGATCACTTTCACAGCTCCTAGGTTCACAATACAATTTTTTTGAATCACTACAGAACAGGATAGAAAACTTTCATATTACCCAAACACAAATGGAGCACTTCTCAAACTCTGCCTCCCTGCTGTGAGGTACAAAAAGCAAAATGGACTCCACAGCAATGATATCTCTTTGCTTATGTCTGTAAAGAAGTGACTGCTGTTTTCCGTTCAAAAGACTAATTGGAGCATAATTTTTTGATATCTCTGGAGGTTAGGAATACCAGGGAACCAGGGCAGGAATTACAGGTCATTGCGGAAGACTGTCTTCTATTATCTATGCCTATGTGGTGTTCATCTTAGAACTGTGGAGTTGCTTAATGACATTATATGATTACAAATCCCTTGATATACATTGTCTTTAAAACACTGTATCTGAATTGGTTTTGCCTTAAAAAATAATCAACATTTCACTACTAATGCTTGAAACATGAAGCAAACATCCAAATGACTAAAATATTAGAAGGAAAATAAAAAAAATCCACAAAAGATCATTATTTGGTATTTCAGGATCTGAGTCATTAGTTTTGTATTTTGCTTGGACTTGACAACACTGAAACAGAGAAAAGGCAGCAACCTAGCAGTCTGTATGCCTGGCAAACTCCAGCCAGCCTAGCTATGTATTATTTTCGTTCTCCTAGATTCTTCTAAAAATGTTTTTTAAACTGCATAAAACACCCCTGGCTGTATTTCCAAGCATAACTATCTATGCTTTCTGAGTAGTTGCACCCTTCAGTGTTATATTGAACAATAGCCTGCATTCACCTTTCCTGAGCAGGCAAAGTACAGACATAACTCTGCAGTCATCCACAACGTGATGCCAAATTTCCATTTTAACCTCATTTCAAATCCTAGCTAAAAGAATATCTCTTTTTTTTTCTCCCTCTGGTTTAAATTGACTGCTATTACCTACCTCTGGGAATAGAGCTTTTACAAAGGATGATATACAAAGCAAAACTCTGTGGTATATCACTATTAAAATTTTGAATTATGAATAA